TAAGCACGATGACAAACAATTCTATAACAGAGGTTAATGGTTGTTAAAGTGTTCAGTTGAAGAACCCAGACCACTCGATAAGTGTGCTTATGTTGGCCGTGCTCTACATTCGTCTCTCATTGCACCGTTCTCGTCCATATTGTAATGGTAAACAGATGGTATAGCCTACCCTTTCAAGCAAGTTTGTCAGATATGGAAAGGGAATTATTCTATAGCATTGGTAACGAATGATAATGTATTTTCGTGCATTATGACAAGAATGTTTCAATATATTGGTAAATATTGTACATATTCTACCGCGATATACTTTTATCTGCATAATGAATGACATTACGTGTAGATCATATCATGACAGCTTCCAATATCGACGAATTCATTTCGTTGATTACAGTCATAATGTACGTGTAATGTTAAAGGTTAATGAAAATGGGTTGAAAGAAGTAGACACGACTATTCACAGACGTACGGCTGTTGTACTGCTGAAAGCTGCGTCAAGCAAGGACATACTCACATACTGAGTGAGTGAGTGAGTGAGTGAGGATTTATAGTCACATCGGCAATATTTCAGCAATATCGTGACTTTGAAAACGGACTATATTGAACACTCATGAATGTACAGTGTTTCCATGTTCAGTGTTGGTGAATTGATTTTCTTCACGAACATTCGAGTTCGTGTTGACGAGGTTGAGATGGGATGTTATGTTTTGATGAGTTAAAGTTTTATTACAGTCACTGTAATCCCCAAATGTAAATTTAGACGGTGAAACGGCGTTAATAAAAGCGACAAATTTTGACCATATCATTTGGATGTGTTTATGAGTAATTCAGTTTCAAATCGTTACGGCACCAGGTGTTTTCGAAAAAGACAAGAGTACCCTGCACTATCGGTGGTACCGAAAATAATACAGCTCAAAGAGCCGTGCAAGGATCGAGATATCACTGGTTCCGTTACGACGATGGCGCACACGAGGTCGAATTTGTTTCAGTGAAACATAATGGAAATTAAGATGAGATTCCTTGGTATTTGTTTGTAATGTTCACACTTCATACATTTTGAGTAAATTACACTGTTTTACTCTTTCTTTTGTTAAACTCCGTTTTTGTATTAATTGGTCGACATGAAAATAGGAAACGAAATACTGGAGGGTGAGTACATACATAAGTCCTTCATAACACAGTTGGAGTGAGTGAGTGAGTGAGTGAGTTTAGTTTTACGCCACAATTAGCATTATTCCAACTATATGGTGGCGGTCTGTAAATAATCGAGTCTGGGCCAGACAATCCAGTGATCAACAGCATGAGCATCGATCTGCGCAATTGGGAACCGATGACATGTAACACAGGTGGAAGAGATTTCAGGAAACTGAAGGGTACCCACTGACACTTGCTGGAGTCGTTGCACGATGACAACCCGACAACAGATTATTTCCTGTGCCCATTCCTGAGTGAGAGAATGATTATGGTTTTGGCAATACTCTTGCAATATTCCACAATATGAGATATCAGGGATACCCAATATGGGCTTCACACATTTTACCTACCTGGGGAATCGAACACGGGATTTTGGCGTGAAAACCGGAGCTTTCTAAAAAATGTTTGAAACCTTTCTTTCACACCTGTCATGTGTACATGTTATATATTTCCCAAGCTTCGTATTCTCCAGACTCCTAATAGTAAAATTTTGACTGCGAAGACATTTGCGCAACTGTGGAATAACAGAACAAAGTATATTTGGTATATTTTATCATGTTATCATACACGCGCAGCACAATCTCTATATTTTACTCAGCTTGGGAATCGAACCCGGGGCTTCGGCAACACTTTAAATACTAGGATCAATGAAGTGAAGGTGGGTAGATTAATGTAATGTGAAGAATGTGAATGGTTTAAGAGTGTTCAAATATATTCTATTTCAGACTGAAGGGTCAACTGGCCATTCACCAGTCTTGAGGTCAGACTTCTTACCGTGATATGACATGTTTGCACGTCCGATGTAAGTCACATAATAACAGGGCTTTCAAACAAATAGAACAAACAAATAGATTGAAGATCGATGATGGGTTCAATTAAACAAAAATCAGCTTTGCTGACATTTAAGAAGGCGTTACCTTCAAGCACGTACCCCATTAGTCTAAACAAGTACTACAGCGGTTCATGATCTTATACATATAGGGTCCTAGCTACGGAATTTCGTTTAGTGTTATACCAGGGAACTGGATATTTAACACAACAATAGCTATTAGTGAAGAGAAGCAGGGCACACGATTAATAATGTGTCTCACAATGCACTTCATATACTTGTAAGTACAAATCCTATTATGCAGGGATAGTAAGAGTAGGAAACACGGTGCAATAATATACAAAAGCCAAAAGTAACTGTGACGTGGAGTTTTGTACACCCACAAAACGTTATATGGATTTTATATGAACTGGGGAGAGTGGTGATGATAGAGAGAGTGAAAATTAGCGTAACCATTAGGGCTGCAACGATTCACCTAGACCTCGATTCGATTACGATATTGGACCATCGATTCGATCATATTCAATTAGATTCTCCACACAAGTAAAAACATCAGATTTCATTTAACTCCCAGAGTCGGCTTTTTAGCGTGAAAATCCATAATCAACTTGGCGATGTCTATTAACAACATTTCTCATTGGATAATTAGCCTGGCGTCAACCAATCACGTTTCGCCTTATTTCAGCGCTCGAAATTGCTCGAGTTGGAATCAAAATTACGTTCTCGCTGTGTGGAAATAATTTAAATAGGTATTCAAATATCGAATCGAAATAGTGATAATGGTTGTCGAAAATCGAAACTCAGGTGTCATATTCGATTTTCGATGAATCGAACCGAATCGTTGCAGCCCTAGTAACCGTCATTGTTATTTCTTGTTTTGGCAAGAAATAAAGAACATTCAAGGAATGTTCTCTACAAAAGGGCATACACAATATTCGAAAGTGAAATTTCAGGAAATTTTAAATTAAAGTTTGGTCGTTTTCATTCGATTTCACCATGTCACCATTAAGGAAGACTGGCAGTTGGCAAACTCGAGGAATGTTCGATTCCGTCATCTCACAGTATGATATCATGTCAGTTCAACGTTCACAGGAACACCATATCAACTGAACTGTCAAGTCAGAGATCGACCCCGTAGAGTTGCCCACTAGTGACAATATATAGTTTTGATAGAAACGGATAATTTCTGTTTACTGAAAACGAGCCCCTGTGAGAGGGGAGATTCACTACCTGAGTAAATGTGGACGAGGAGTTTTGAGCAGAACAAGTACCCGAGACTCTATACATGCTCGTCATATGAGCGAAATATTCTCAAGCACGACGTTAAACCCAATTTAACCTCACCTCTATACATGCACGCACAAACACGCGCACACACACACGCGCACACACACGCACGTACGCGCTCACACACACACACACACTCGCAAACGCTTGTGCTGGTCAAAACTCCTTTGTGGACACAAGATCGTTCAATACTCTTACAACAGTTCTTCAGACGTATTGAAAGAACACCCGAGTTTTCATAACGTTACACAAATCTTTAAGTTAACATTACCAGGTCAACTATAGTACTATGAACGTTACATTATTTTGGCAAACTAAGAAAATACCAGGAAGTTTGTTATCACCATTCTGAGTATCTGTTTCTGCAACAGGTGTGTTGTTTTACGAATACCCAAACACTTAAGATCGTTTATAATACATAAAAATCTTCGATTGTGTCCAGTATAACATTTTGGCTTCATCAACAGAATATTTGACAACAGAATCGACAGAATCTGAATACAGCATCAATAGCAGCTGTCAATGTGTGGGGAAAAAAACTAAGATAAACGTACTTTCTCTGACTACATAAATGTTTTGTTTTTGAATATACACAACATCTGCATCTAAATACTTATAAAAATACCTACAGTTATCTAACTGTACTATATCATGCAAGGTCCCCTCTTTTAAATAGTTAAATATCTTTGTAGGGAGAGATATGTACATAGTATGCCTGTTTACCAATCTAAATTCTTTTGGAAAACATGTATTCTTTAAATATATGTCTCGTTATTTGATTTACTTGGCGATTTGAATTGCAGTATCAATGTCCATAGACTATCCGACACACGTTGTATTGTTGCCATTACATTAGCAAGCCTAACGTCGCCGTATTGCTGAAACAATGCCGACACGACGTCAAATTTTAACTCACCCACACAGCAAGTCTAACGGTTTTCTATGACCACCAAACTTGCAGCTGAGCATGCAGTGCAATTATCAGGCGTTGTCAAGCATTGTATTGCTTGATGTCCTACATTTCAGTTATTTTTAAGTCCCAGGGTACAGAATCCTTCAGTCATAATTATATTGACACGTAATACGTACAGTTATACAAATTAGCAAAGTGCTTCATTGAAAAATGTCACTAAAAATCTGAACACCGAGAGCAGGGAGATCATGTAATTCCGTTTCAATTTCCTTAACCTTAACGTTTACTGCATAATATATGTGTTAACACAAGCTGTTATAGCATTGAAAAATGAGTCCGAGTTGAAACATGAAAAACATTGATTTTAGACAAATAAATCCGAAGGTTCACATGAATAATGCCTTTAGCATAGCCAGACCCACTCGGTATATTTACGGTAGGACAAAGCAGGTGGCAAGTCTGACCTATATGCTAGACAAGCGTTTGTTATTCAAGCAATGCAAGTCACTGTAAATCGGTATTACGCTTTCTTATCGAATCTTAGGCCTGAGCCAGGATAGGTGAAGTAGTACCATCAAATCTGTAGTGTGCCATACGTACGTGTACGTAACACGGACGTACGAATGACCATGGTAGTATACACTGTGCAAACAAGCCACTCGTGATTACGGGTACACCCTGTTACGACATGTTAGACAGTGCGTGGTACAACTGCACTACCCGTATCGAGGTCAGTTATATGGACGTATATTTTGTGAAGTATATCTGGGTTACACTAACCTTTACACTATCGTGGGCGTGCCCTGTCTCAAGGCTGGTCTTATCTCGAACCTTAACAGCTGTCGAGGACGGGATGACGAGACATGAGAACTGTTATAGCCTATCCGGATACAAACAAGGACTTGTTGCTCCTCAATTTACATGGAAGAGTTGTCTGCCTTACGTAAACAGTGATTATTACGGAGTGGCGGGTGTCCGTTTGGGAGTTCAAATCCATGATTCGTCCACCCTTGTTTCAAATGGAGACTCCACGAATAGTGCTGTTATCTAATGGTATTCAGTTAAGGATAGCGGATGAAAGGATGACTTTCAGAAATACTAGTTAATATTAATGTCAGTGTTAATTAATAGCGCTTTGCAACCATCTACGGGGCGGTAGGGTAGCCTAGTGTTTAACTCGTCAGACCGAAGACCCGGGTTCGATTCCCCACATTGGTACACTGTGTGAAGTCATTTCTGGTGTCCCCCCGCCGTGATATTCCTGGAATATTGCTAAAAGCGGCGTAAAACCATACTCACTCACTACAACCATCCACAGTACCGGACAAAAGAAAGCATACACACATTTGAGTCGGCTTTAAAAACAAACAAAAAAAAGAAATGGTTCTGCGATCGGGATGTATTTCATACTTCTATCATAGTTGTGTTTAAAACCTTTTCACTGTTTTGGCAACGTTTACAGCTTGGTGACGTCACGATAACGTTCGGTTAGATTCTCTTTTTTTATTAGCTTAGGGACAGATGTTACATATCCGATACATAAGTACATATATAGCGAGATGTTACACTGCTACTATGTGAATACAAATATATCCATTTCACATAGAGATGAAGATATTATCCACGGATGTGAAAGTAACATCCTCGGAAATTTACAGCATTTGCTTTATGTACTATATTGAAAGATTAGGGCAAATATAGGATAAGTACTAGAAGTGAAAATATGGAAATAGGTAGAGGAAAACATGAGAGGGGGAAAGAGTAGATGGGAATGGAGGGGAGAAGACGGGGGAGGGGGCGTGTTGGTGGCTGCGTGTTACGCTGTAAGTGTCGGCATCAATATTGACCATTTATTTTTTAGTGTGGTATTGGCGGGGCCGTAAATATATTTTTCATTATTATAACTTGCTTGATATTTTTTATCAAACCTTGGAAATGCAAATTTATTTTTTTATGTTTACACGTATAAACATACAGTTTGAGAATGTTATACAAATGGTTTAACAGAAGGCTTTGATTGGGGTCTCCAAGTAAGATAATTGATTTAGAATTTTTTTTAATTTCGTCTTTGTTGTTTCTTCAAACCATATTCGAAACTGTCTCATCAGATTTTGAGTTTTCCTGCAATCATAGAAAACATGTTCAAGTGTTTCTGGTTCGTTCGGTTAGATTCAACGTGTATACTTTCTTTTGCCCGACAGTTAATATATTGTTATCTCCAGTGATGTCTAATAATCACACGTAAACTGTGTGTGTTGTCTTTTTAATTTTGACGAGACTTGTCCATTTCTATCCGTACGGTCAAAGACAGGGGAATATACAGCTGGTGTCTGCGTTGTGACACGATTGCGTCTGGGAGAAATACCCCATTCCGTCATGTATACAACAGTTGGATGAATGAGTTTAAATAGGTTCACGTTTGTCAAGAGGGTATTTTTTCTCAAGAATGTGTGTTTGGGGGAAAGAGGTTGAGGCTGGGGTTGGGGCTGACGTGCGGGAGTGGTGTGTGTGTGTGTGTGTGGTGTGTGTGTGTGTGTGTGTGTTCTCGATCTCCCAACATTTTGGACCGTAGAACAACACAGGGATTTAGTGGCGTGTAGGCCCTATTATTGTAAAAGGGGTGGCAGGTTTCCCGGTGTTGGGGGACTTGGTCAATTGTATAGCACAGGGGTGGTAAGCTGTATCATGGTTTATCGCCATCACACAAAACAGTACAGATTGAACTTGAGTTGATTTTTTTTCATATAATTTTTCATAACCTATGAGAAATGCACACATAGCAGCACTTATTTTGCCAACCCTCTACACTGTTAGATTTTCACGACCATGCTTATTCTGAACAAACACCACATGTACTTGTGCATTTGCCACCATAGCATTTGTGACTGATAGAATTCCATTACCCCTATATGTATACCATCCTTAAGTCAATTGATCCTTAATGTGGTCTCTGAAAATTGATGAATATTGTTCTGAAATATCAAGTTATGACTGACAGTGATTGGTGAACCGGAAATGATTCGTGACCATGTGTGACACTGATAAGGGGATTAGTATTACAGCAGTGAGAGATACTGTGATGGGTGCCTGACACCCCTAAAATTGGAATGCTCCAACTAATCATGACAATTCATATATTTTTGTTTGTGCAAACAGAAAATGTTTTCTCACTCGTATGTATTATTTACTTATTTACGTATGTTGTACTATGTTTCTGCGCCCTCTTTTAATCATTCAAGTGTCACTCCTTAATATTACGTATCACCTGGCCTTACCAAGTATTCTCAGCAGCGGAAGCATGCGCAGTTTCCATTACATACCTTGCGCATGCGCACACATTGTTTACTTCCCACAACCCTTTCTACTTCCTTCTGCTCCAAGTCATGGCGCTCGCAACATAACAGCACGTACATATTTGCTACCCGCCCTCCCAATCCCAGGTGGTACTCTTTGTTTATTCCGTTGTATGTACATATTCTTTCATAGTGCCTTATCTTCCATAAAGGGGCGCTGGGGTAGCCTAGTGGTTAAAGCGTTGGCTCGTCACGTCGAAGGCCCGGGTTCTATTCCCCAAATGGGCACAATGTGTTAAGCCCATTTCTGGTGTCCCCGCCGTGATATTGCTGGAATATTGCTAAAAGCGGCGTAAAACTAAACTCAGTCAGTCAGTCAGTCCATAACATTACAATGTGTCCATGCTCAGAGTATTGAAGCTGACTGATGCTTCATGTAATTCCCTCCCAGGTTATCAACAGGATCCGCAGATCCTCCTTTATATTCCATGTCCGCAGACTGGATCTCATTGTCAAGCGCCGCAGCGCTACCCACATCCCCTCCCACAGCGTGCAATTTGTTTTCCTATTCTGTTGTATGTTAGTATTCATTCATAGCGTTTTGTTTTAATCATCTATAACATTACAATGGTCCCATGCTTAGACTATTGGAGCTGACTGATGCTTCATGTAATTACCTCCCAGGTTACAACAGGATCCGCAGATCCTCCTTTATATTCCATGTCCGCAGACTGGATCTCATTGTCAAGCGCCGCAGCGCTACCCCACCCCTCCCACAGCGTGCAATTTGTTTTCCTATTCTGTTGTATGTTAGTATTCTTTCATAGCGTTTTGTTTTAATCATCTTTAACATTACAATGGTCCCATGCTTAGAGTATTGGAGCTGACTGATGCTTCATGTAATTACCTCCCAGGTTACAACAGGATCCGCAGATCCTCCCTTATATTCCATGTCCGCAGACTGGATATCATTTATCATCCGCCGCAGCGGCTTCACGCCACTCTCGGGCTGGTACCCAACTAACACTGGGTCGGGCAATTACCCACTTAACACTGGATCCTTATCCCCAAGTTTTAAACCAGAGCTCAGGTTACAAGCGGGTCCGCAGACCCCACTTTAGCAATCAGAGTTCGCAGACTCCACACACCTCTTCGTCCGAGCCGCCGCAGCGTTCCAGGACGGCAACCTAACTCTCGGTCATCCCTTCTTCAGTTATCAGTCAGTTGTGCCAAATCATTTTTTATTAATAAAACAACTGTTGTGTTAAATTGCTTGTTGTGTTGTGTTTGCACAAGTTCCTATTGTTCTCCTCCAGACTGAACTTGTTGTTTTAGGAAATGTTGGGAAACCGACGTGGGGTTTGGGTAGGAAGTGGATGATCATACTGTCTGACTGTCATCATAAGCTGAGTCCAGTATGTTTGTGTTTCAAATATATATGATGTGTCTAGACAACTGTCAATATAAGCAGATCGTTTTGTAAATAAATTTATCACTGAGTATGTATGCTGCGGGTATGGCGGTCAGTAAAAGAGAAAATTACAATCAGCATACTAAATGTACTGCTAATATACTCATGTACTATTACTAAAGAAGGGGTCAACCTCAATATTATTTTACTTAAATTACAGTGGACCTTGTTTTCCGTTAACTTATTTGGATTCATAATTGGAAACCACAGACACGTATCGCATGTATGTGTGCGCGTGCATGCGTGCGTGTGTGTATCTGTGTGTAAGTATTCTATAATATAATTATGATTTAAAACAGGCACGCATAACTACGACATCATCATTCTAATAAGATGTTTGTCTCCGACTGCATAAACTCCCTTTGATTGAGAGTACAAGCAGTCGGAGCAGTATATCTGCATCTTGCATCTCCAAAACGTATGTAACCGGGCATTTCCGAGTAGCGAATATATACTGGACTCGCTGTGTTGGAAATAGTTTTCACCTAAATATCATGAGAGACGCATAGCTCTGTGAAATGACGGCTTCAAATATCTTCTTGTCGTGTAATGCAGCATTTGGCCTGCACGAAACAACAATGAAACCGTCTTAACAGCTTGACACTAAAGCCGAACCATTCTAGAATGGTGATCATGACAACAGGTTAACTCACACCACATGCATTCGCCATTTGCTTTTGGCGGTTAACGTTTGCACCTGGTATAGAGGATTCAAGGATTTATCTCCCTTGACATCTTCAAGGACTCCGATCATCCGATGTTTGATATTCAAGTTATTTTTCGGACAAACTCATGCTGCTTTTATTTCATACTTTTAATTTTAGAAATCTAAAACCATGAAATAATTCTTTGTGTTATTATTAAATGTTACTTCAATATCTATTAGCGTTGGCAAGTAATATAACTTGATGAACAGGTACAATTAATGAACGACAATCAACGTTCACGAAAACGTGTTCATATCGATTAACTATGGATTTCAAAATCGCACTCAGTATTCCAGCTATGCGGCGGTCTGTAAATAATCGAGCCTGGACCAGATAATCCAGTGACGATGAGCATCGATCTACGCAATTGCGATACGATGACATGTGTCAACCAAGTCAGCGAGCCTGACCACTCGATACTGTAGTCTCCCCTTACGACAAGCATGTATTGCTGTAGACCAATTCTTACCCGGATTTACAAAGGCTTCTTAATGAATACAATTTTCGAAGCGTTACCTGTTCTCAGCCTCACGTGGTTGCATCATAGCAGTCACAGTCCTTGTATCCCTCCTCGACCACACACTGACCGTTACGGTGGTTGGCGCACTCAGTTCCAGCTATATGGCGGACCTGTAAATAAGCGAGTTACACACATTGAGTGAAGGGGTATGAAGAGAATCCCATTTCAGATGAGGTTTATTGCTTTGCGAGGAAATGTGTTCACTTTACGTCCCCCCAAAAAAGAATGTGGTGTGTCTCTGATGTGTTGTTGATTTCCAGTACGATGTTTTATGTTCACTCTCGGAAAACAGTCAACATCAACGAAAAAACAGTCTCATCTCGAAACAGGTTCTATTAGTGGTAAGGAGCAAAACAAAGATAAACATTATACGACTAGATCACAGAATAATGATAAAAATAATGGCATTCAACAGGTTCATTTAAACTGTTGTTTAGTAATAAAACACCTTACAAATTCTAGAATGAAAAGGTTTGGGCTGATAGAAGGCGATTTCCATCAGTTCTATATTCCTAGTGTAAAGTACATTCTTACCACTGGCAGTTAAAACCTCTCAGACAACTTTGACCAAGATGATTTGTTAAACGTAACTGAAACGACTTGAGACGAAGTTGTCGATAACTTGGATTCTGTCATTTGTAATAGATATACACTACTTCTGTTACAAACATATATTCTTGAAAAAGAATGACTTGTAAACAATCACAGTCCGACGCTTTGAAGAACGGCAGAAGTTTGGGAGACAGAGCGGTACATCGAGTTTACGGCATCTTTTGTTGTCAAATGACGTCACAGCGGGTGACGTCACGCTCTATAATGACATCATAAGTCTTGTTCCATGACCTACCAGTGTTGGGTCAACAGCCCGTTGCGAGTTGTTTGAAGTAAACTTACAATTGAATTTATGATACTGTTTTGTCTTTTTTAAACACAAATTCCATCCATTTAAGCTATAATAGGGGAAAGAATTGGAGACCTAGGGCTTCTGCAAATGATAATGCCCTGAAAAACAGCGCTACCCCTATAGTGTAGGGATACATTCAAAAGTTTTGGTGAATCGGTTTTTAAATTGCGACCATATATGCTGATTATATGGTCGGAAATTTATAGCATTGGCCAATCAGAACTCGTGTTACATACTAAGTTGAATTAGAATACATTAAGACATCAAAGTGACTGCACCGCTTGCTCTCCATATGGCTTCGATAACAGTACGTGGAGCCGTACAACCTATTTAAACAAAGGATCTCTACGCAAATCAAAATAGTGTTACAAATTTTAGGATATTTTCTCAGTGGAAGTAAACAATTCTATAAAAAGAGGTTTAATTAGATATGTGGACTCGTGAAAATTAAAGCGTAAAAACACATAATTATACAGTGTATTGAATGAACTACATGTGCAAGATGTGACGAATCGTGACATATCTCTGGCCTGTAGCAGATGTACTATGCTGGCGGCATGGAACTCTGGGTAGGAGAGTGGGTGAAACTGACTGAGAATCACTTGGGAATAAATAGAGGATATTCCCTGTGTCTAGTGAAATATGGTGCATCTGTCATCTCGTGACGAGCAGTGTGACATTTTCACCAGTTTCGATGCTCAGATATATCATTTTTCACTAGACAAAGGGAATATTTATTATACGCTTCCAATTTTGTTTAATTAAACTTAAACATTATTAATCCGAGGAAATTTGATAAAGGAAATCCAAATTCTCCAAACCGTAAACTAAAGACTGTTCACCTGTGTTTAGACATAGTTCTGTATGCGAAAATACTTTAGAAATCGACACAATATCTGTATTAGTTGCTATCTTTTACTTATTGCAGTTGTATGAAAAGGATCAGCACTTATAATTATATCCACCTAACGATCCTTCTGATCTTAGCGTAAGCGTAAAAACATTAGAACCACAAACAAACATAGCGAACCGAAAGAAAGGGAAAAGCGCGATTGAGAAAAATTGACTATTAACTGTGACATTAATTAAGAAATACACTTCGCTCTACCACCATGTATAGTGTAATAAAACACACTTTTGCCCTGAACTATTATAACGTTAAAGCACTCAAGCGTCCGAGTGCTTTAACGTTATAATAGTTCAGGGCAAAAGTGTGTTTTATTACACTATACATGGTGGTAGAGCGAAGTGTATTTCTTTCTAAGATGCCAAATTTAATACTTTCTAAAGATAATTACGATTAATTTATGGCAGAAAACAAACGACGGTGTCGGTGACCTAAATTAAGAATCCTCGCACAGGGCTAACTGGCGCGCTGTTCTATTGATGTGTCTTCGCCCCCTACGTTCAGACGAACGTTACCAGAAAAACAAATGATAACAGTTTGATGACGGTTTACGTTCGGATTCAATATCTTCTTTGAATTATTTTAATTACATCTGTCATTAACGTAAACCATATGGGGGGCAATATGAACGTTGCATTTCTACCCCAGCGTAAGTTTAGATCAGAACATCCAGAGGAAGTTGAGTAGGTCAAGCGACATTCCACAATTGCATTGTGGGAATGTAAACATTACGAACGTTACCGTGTCGCTGAAAACTTGTGAGTCGAAATGACACATTTTAACCGTCGTAAAACATAAACGTAATGTTTCCGACAGTGATGTTAGCTGCGTGAAGCAACAGCAAACCAAGAAAGGGATGCAACGGTGTAGTTTACTGTAGGAGGCCGTACGAGGCGATGACAACTGACATGCATCGTGACGTCGCTTACATTGTGACGTAATGTAAAATGGTTCGATTACGAGGGGCAGCACTAGAATGGCGCAGTGACGGGATAACGTCATTCAATTGTTACGTCATCAAAAACTATACCTTCATTGTCTGATAATGTTTTTTTTTTTTCGATTGTTCTAACCGCTAGGCATCTTAGAAGCATAAATACAGTTATGGCCGCTGTCAATCGAGTACATGAAATGTGTCCTGAACAGTGGACTCGACGCAACACAGCGAGGCACAGTAAAGCATAGTCGAGCTCGGTTAGGTTCCACTACAAAATATCAGTATCACATGCTCTTTGAACGAGAGCCGTATGAAACAAGTGAAGAGAGACTGAGACATGTGACAGCTGTGATTGATGAAATAGTGTACGTTCTAAGATGCCTAGCGGTTAGAACAATCGAAAAAAAAATACATTATCAGACAATAAAGGTATAGTTTTTTGATGACGTAACAATTGAATGACGTTATCCCGTCACTGCGCCATTCTAGTGTGCCCCCTCGTAATCGAACCATTTTACATTACGTCACAATGTAAGCGACGTCACGATGCATGTCAGTTGTCATCGCCTCGTACGGCCTCCTACAGTAAACTACACGGTTGCATCCCCTTCTTGGTTTGCTGTTGCTTCACGCAGCTAACATCACTGGTGGAAACATTACGTTTATGTTTTACGACGGTTAAAATGTGTCATTTCGACTCACAAGTTTTCAGCGACACGGTAACGTTCGTAATGTTTACATTCCCACAATGCAATTGTGGAATGTCGCTTGACTACTCAACTTCCTCTGGATGTACTGATCTAAACTTACGCTGGTAGTAGAAATGCAACGTTCATATTGCCCTATATGGTTTACGTTAATGACAGATGTAATTAAAATAATTCAAAGAAGATATTGAATCCGAACGTAAACCGTCATCAAACTGTTATCATTTGTTTTTCTGGTAACGTTCGTCTGAACGTAGGGGAAGACACATCAATAGAACAGCGCCAGTTAGCCCTGTGCGAGGATTCTTAATTTAGGTCACCGACACCGTCGTTTGTTTTCTGCCATAAATTAATCGTAATTATCTTTAGAAAGTATTAAATTTGGCATCTTTAGAAAAGAATATATTTTCGCCTTACCACTGTGTATAGAGTAATAAAACACACTTTTCGCCCTGAACTATTATAACGTTAAAGCCCTCGGACGCAACCGTCCTCGTGCTTTAACTATAATAGTTCAGGGCAAAAGTGTGTTTTATTAAACTATACATGGTGGTAGAGCGAAGTGTATTTCTTAAATGTTTATGTGTTTTAAAAAGCACATCCAACCAGCAATTAAAACTGACCACAATTTTAAGTATTTAATGCTCTCATTTTTTATCACCAGCACTTATGCTTATTGTGTGTACAGATATGTTCCAGTAGGTGACATTTGGTGCGGAACTGGGGTTGACGTGTTCGCTTCCTGTGCTCGCCAAACGAGCCGGACAAGTTGGCCTGATATTTTGTTTTATGGTAGTTTAAAGGCCAGAGTGTACCCATGTGTACATGGAATGGCTGTTGATAGCCTGGATATTTTTAAAAAGTATAAGGTTACTATAGAAGTCTATGGGAAAACATTTGTTGGTGTGTAACCGTTAGTGCCGTGCACTGAATGATTCGGCGACCAGCTGATTGACACGAGTTATCTGGGAGGAGGCTGGTCGCTGATCGCTGGAGATTGGTCATCCTATGCCCAGGCTTGCTGACCAAAGGCATTTGACCAAATTCATTATGTTTACATTACCATTTATTGTGTTGTGTAACTGAACTGAACACTTCGTTGAGCCACGAAGTAGTTCCGGCAAATGATATTTAAAAAATAATAATATATTTCTGTAACTGCAGTAAAACGTCACTTTTCTTAAACCCAGAAATGTCAGTCTAGTATAAGTATCAAGTATATAATAGAAAGAGACATTTCAGGATACACAGGAAATTCTTACACCTGTTTCGTAACATCAGTATTGCATACATGGTCTTAAAATACACAATGAAATATACATGCTCTTAAAATGCACAATGATATATGCATGCTCTTAAAATACACAATGATATATACATGCTCTTAAAATACACAATGAAATATTCATGCTCTTAAAATACACAATGAAATATACATGCTCTTTAAAATACACAATGATATATACATGCTCTACAAATACAACAACAATGATATATACATGCTCTAAAATACACACACGGGCGGTGGGGTAGCCTAGTGGTTAAAGCGTTGGCTCGTCACGCCGAAGACCCGGGTTCGATTCCCACATGGGCACAATGTGTTAAGCCCATTTCTGGTGTCCCCCGCCGTGATATTGCTGGAATATTGCTAAAAGCGGCGTAAAACTAACCTCAGTCAGTCAGTCTTAAAATACACACAATGAAATATACATGCTCTTAAAATACACAATGAAATATACATGCTCTCTGAGTGTAGCGTTAGTCATGGATGGTTGTACACCTGATCAGTTTGCCATGATATAAAGAGTCACTGGTTCAAGGTGTCCAGAAATGGCTGAATTAAGACTCTAATTCGCCCTAAAAAAACTTAATTCTTAACAGTGCCACTACCATATATCGCGATTGGTGTCAACCGATTTCAAATCACCTTAGAACGAGTTAGGACTCGTTTCTCTCCACTAAACAATTTGTTTATTAACAACATAAACGATATAAGCGCACATGACCCTGATCTCTTTTTGAACCACTTTGACTGTAAGATAATCTTGTGCAATGTTTTCTCCATAAAGCCAAATTGTTTATGAACCGCATAAAAGCAATAAGTCAAGACACATAAGAGTGGCCTTGACTTCCTTTCTGAAACCCTTTGACTGTAGGTAATCTTGTGCCATGTTGGTATTTGGACCTGTGCGTAGTTTGCCTGATCGGTATTTTCTATTTATGTTTATATGTAATGTATCCTGTAGGTATTTCGTCAACACCGCCCTGTCACCTGCTATGGTTCTCAGTGATAAAACCGTTAAAACTGTCGCGGGTTCAGGCCTGAGTCTTGCCAAGCAGACAAAATAACGGTCGGAGACCCTTGTTCGTGTGAAACATCTTGTTTATTGCCTGTGAATGAAATACAACATTAGAAGATGTTGTGTCAGCCATACATGTGTGATGGCTGACGGATGACAATTGAATGTCAATCAATCAGGCATATTAATTATTCAATTGATAATCAAATAGCACAGTGACATACGTTATAATTATGATATCAATTGAATAATGTTGATTGTTTACATGATGACGTCACATAAAGCTGATGCATCATATTATTGCTAAAATATATACAGTTGGTGTTGATAATAAAAGGTTTATAAAATATAATATAATTATACTTTCACACACTGTCTTACGTGCTTGTGCTTAAGTTAGTAAGGATACGCGATAGATATGTTTACTTTATGCGCGATCGGTAACAATATGTTTACTAACTTAAAATACTTAACTGATAATAATTAGATATTTAGCACTATGAAATAGAGAAAGGATATAGAGAGGGTGCTTACCTGTGAATGAAATACAACATTAGAAGATGTTGTGTCAGCCATACATGTGTGATGGCTGACGGATGACAATTGAATGTGAATTCAAATTGTCATACGTCACAGGTGTAGAAGCCCGTGCTTTGGTGGTGAGCCAAATACGGGTAGCACGTACAACTCCCCTATATCAGACAGTGGAGAAGCAGCCTCTGATGGAAAGATAGAGAAATAAAAGGCTGTCGGCGACATGTTTCCCCTTTGGAAAATGTTGTCCCCAACATTTAGGACACCACCAATGATAAGAGTCATTGGACAAAGGAAATGATGCCCCAACGAATGATAAAAATAAAACCACGACGCTTGCAAAGACTCCGCGTCTTGGGAAAGAAGAAACCAAACACTGAAATATTCCTTCCGGTCAAAACCATGGAATTCTCAATGGTTCTTAGACTTTGAGATAAGAACAGGCAAAACCAAACTGAACAAAGAGAGCCACAAAATGCAAAAAATATTTACAATAAGCAGTACATCACACAAAACTTCCTCCTCTTCTGTATCTTCTCTGATGGTCGATCCGAAGTTGATGATCCATTGGTTATCTCTCATCCAGGCTGGACGGTTCCTGAAGTCGGGTAGGCCTCCCCAACTCTGGAGCGTCGGTGTGGGTAGGAGATGCATGTTGACCATCCTCAATGACATATGAGAAACAGCAACATCCTCTGTCTGCGCAGGTGAACATGGGTTCGACGTTGAAGCCGGACTTGAGGTGTTGTCATGGGAGATAACTGCCTCTGGATAGTGCTGTGGAACCTCTGGCAATGCGTCGGTGACTCTTGCAAGAGAACGTCCAGTAGATCCAGGTGACAGTGTTGTTGAGACTTTCGGGAGCTGACATCGGCGGGTTGATCACATGAGATGTGACCACGATCAGAGATGAAAGACTCTGATCCAGCAGCTGAGAGGACATCAGTTGCACTTACCTGACTCCTGAGTCTTGGCAGCAGCAGTATTTCTTCCTCGCTGTCATCTTCGGATTCATGTGCAGCTGGGTAATCCTTCACATGAGGGAAACAGACTTCTTGCTGCGTGGGTAGTCACGTCTTTGTGTAGGCAGAGCTGGCTGTAGGGAAACAGATTGGAGTGGTAGGAGCATGTTGCGCTGTAGAGACCCTCAATGGCCCCTTACCACTCTCTCTTGCTTCACAGTGTAGACAGGAAAATCAGGATGATGTACACTTCCTTGCCCCACTCATTAGCTTCTTTTCCTGTGAGTCCAACCAGGCGCACTAACACTCTGTCATTGGGTTGAAGAGGTGATTCTATCACTCTCTTGTCATAGTTCTGTTTGTGGCGATGACCAGCTTTTCTTCGATTCCTTAGAGGCAATGCTATAGGCAAACTGTAGTCTCTTTTTCTCAGGTTCTGGGCATACTGAGTGTGCGTTGTTTGTCCTTCTCCAAGGCTAACTCCGAGAAAGGCATCCACAGGAGTCGAGGGTGTCTCCCAAACATGAGGAAGAATGGTGTGTATCCTGTACTCCTCGTGTCTGGTGGCGTTGTATGAGTGTACCAGTGACGGAACGTAGGTCTTCCAATCACTTTTCTTTTCCTCATCGAGAGTGCGCAAACATGTTCATCAAAGTCTGGTTAAACCGCTCAGTCATACCATTCCCTTTGAGGATGATATGGTGTTGTTCTGGTCTTCCTGATTCCGGTTAACTGACACAGTTCCTTGATGATATTTCCCTCAAAGTTTCTCCCTTGGTCACTGTGAAGTTTGGCTGGGAAACCATAATGGACGAGGAAGTTGTCAAACAGGACTCCTCGCAGTTGTCTTGGCGGATTG